TAGTACAACATCCAACTGGAGAAGTGTTGTTGGGTTTAGAGAGCTCACCTTAGGGCATACTTTGGTATTTTGCAAGCCCATTGCAAGATTAATCATGTAAAAAATCAAATTGATCGGATATCAATAATTATATAATTTGTGTACATTTGTTTGAAAAATAAACAAGTATAATTTTGATAACCTAATCATCTTTGTTTATTTTTATTTTTGGAGAAACTACATGCAGGTGGGAGTTGAGAAAAAAATTACAAACACATGAGGGTACAAGTATATTTGTGGTGGAGTGCAAATGAAAAACTGTGGGAGTGTAAGTTTCACTTGCACCCTTTTATGTGTTGGTAATTTTTTTTCCAACTCTCACATGCATGTAATTCTCTTTTTATTTTTTTACATAAATGTTATACTCAATGAACTTTGTAAAATGAATAGTTTAAATCAGTGAAGTAGGTCCAAAAAACCCAAGAACACTTCTTCAACTAGAGAGAACCAAATCATTATACTAATGTTTAGTGATTAGGAGATTTATCTTCCAATTATATAACCGCAATGCATCTCAAGCTATTCATTCAAAAAAGATAGAAGTTTACCTCCAACTTATTATGTAGCAATTTTGATTGCCCAACTCATATATGGAAGGCCATGATTGGCAACCTATTTATTACACAATTCAAAGTCTATTAGAATTCTTGTTCAATTCTCAAGTTTTGTGTTAAAAAACCCTATAGATTGCCACATGAGTTGGGTAGCAGGAGTTACTTCATAACAGGTTGGATATTTATTGCAATTTATAAGCTGTAGCTTTCAACTTTTAGTTAAGCAAAATAGTTGGCTATTTGTAGCTTTTGTTAATTGTGACAAACATGTTGGTAAGTTAACATTGTAAGACATATATTGCCCATTGTACTTTCTCATAGGTTATGCTTCTTTGATGCATGTATGTTTGGAGGACTTGTTACCATCCTCCCACTTGAAAATTGTAAAATACATTGGAATAGTATTTTTTGAGGTTTGAAAAGTTTTCACATCTCCCTTGCAAAAATATACTTTTCTTAAACTGTTTAATCCACTGAGGTTTTGTGAAATAAAAGATTGGCTTCGTGATAATGGTACTAGACTTCACTTTCATTAGGGTAAATCACACCTACCTCTCCTAAATAGTCACGAAACCATAATTAATCTCATAATTTCAATATAATTACATTAACTTTCATCAAATTTTATAATAACGCTACAATTACATCCATACCATAGATATGTGATGATGAGGTTAGCAAAATTGAAAATGAATGTCCTAATTTGCCTTCCAAAGTTATGTAGAGCTATATGTATATATACTAGCTTGATCTTTACAATATTACCCTTCTTCAACATATAATCATTCATTATCGTCAACCGTCTTCTCCCTTCTAACGTTCACTCCACTCTCTCACCACCAGCCCTACAAGAAATTAAACACATCAACCTACAAAAATCCACAACCTACTACCTTTAACCCTTAAATAAATTAAATAAATAAAATGAAGCCAGAAATCAATGGGAAAAAAAAGAAAGGAGTATGGCAAAAAGCAATGTCTATGGCATTGGCGATGAAGGTGGCACACTACTGTGCCTTTCCTATTTCCCTCTAATGTGATTTGATCTAGAGGTAGCTGGAAATCAATTTTCAAGTGACAAAGAGGAGGGCCCTAGAGGGTGGTATCAGGTTGCGAGGATAAGATGGAAATGGTTTCAACGATGGCGTAGTGGTGGACAAAATAGAGACTCGGTGGCTCCGATTCTACAAAAAAATGAAAAACCAAAATTGAATAAAAATAGAGAACTGTATTTGAATGAAGTTTTTAGTTTTGATAATATATATAAAGAGAATATGGGGCTTAAATGTTGGTGATGAAAGTGAAGGCTGCATTGGTAAGGGGAGTCAAAGGAAGAGATGGTGGTACTAGAGGAGGAGGAGAGAGAGGATAAGATGGCGACATTGAAGGGAGAGGTGGCGGTTAGTGGGAGAAAGAGAGGGTGGCGTTGGCAGTGGAGCAACATGGCGGTGGCATGTAAGAGCATCCCTAGCCGCCTCCCTAAACCCATCATTTACCTATTTTGAGGGGTTGAAGTCCCTTTATACATCTCCATTGGCTTCTTCAAACAATTCCATAAACTAATTTTTGTTGCAATAACTTCTTATTTGTAGGGAGTCACTGTAACTCCCTTATATATATATATATATGTTTACTTTGCTTTGTTTTGTTTAGGACCTGCAGTACACATTTATAATTTTTATTTTTTTAAAATTTATAATTAAAAATTACATTTTAATAGAATAGAGAAAAAAATAGAAAGTTTGTTAATAGAATAGAGAAAGAATAAAGAGTTTGTTAGAAAAAATAGATGAAAAAGTGATTTCTAAAATAGAAAATGAATTTTTTAATAATATTTTCGGATAAAATATAAGTAATGTGATAAGGATGCTCTAACAATAAGATAGTTAGCTGTAACATGTAACATTGTAGTAGTGGGTGGTAAAGAGAAGGTGGCGTTGGCAATGAAACAATGCAGTAGCACGGTGATGAGCGGTGGGGCGAGCATAGAATTGTGGCAGCAAAGAAATGAAACAGAGAAAGAGAGCAAAGAGAAATGAGCTCTATTGGATAAAAAAGGAAAGAGATAAAAATATAAGGTAAAGGGCTATTTAGATAATTAAATTTTATTTTTAAATAATTGTTTTAAAAGTGAAGACAATTATGCAATTTCAAAACTGTTGGTGGCCGAACTTTGACAGGGTATGGCTCCGTTTGGCAAGAGTTTTTTTGGTTATTTTAGGTACAAAAGATAAAATAGACTATTTTAGTCACAACAAATAAAACATCACATCCAATCCATAATCATTACACTCTTCTCTCACAAAAAAAGCCAAAAATGCCAAAAAGTCAAAAAATTCTTCCCAAACCAAGCTTTTTAACCCAGGCTGAAATAGCCAAAAAAGCCATATGTGAGTGTAATTCTGTCATTATTGGAACTTGATTTTTTCAAAGAAAAATAAATCAAATAACTTATACATGTTCATAATTTATTGGTACTAAACAAATTTTTAAATAAATAATTTTTTTTTGGAAAATATATATTTATTTTCTTCTCGTTTTCCTGACCTAAAAAAAAAAACAAAACAAAACAAAAAAACCCAGGCATCTATTTCTTTTTCTTCTATGATATCATCTTTTTATTTATTTTTCCTTCTACAAATTTAACATCCAAACATAACCTAGTTCCCTATGTTTCATTTTCTACACATTGAACTGGACAAAGTTGGCTGAGACTTTCCTTGAAACTTGATCTTCTGACTAACAAGGACACATTGAATGGCTCTAACAGATGCAGTGTGCTTCCCACTAGAACCTGGTAAGCAGTGTGTCTCAGCCTCATTCTTCTGTATAGGTTAATCGTTACAACTAGGCTTGGTGCTGCTTCATTAAATTTTGAGTTAATTACACTTAGAATCCCTATACTTCCACTAATATCTCGTTTTGATTCTTTCGGCTTCAACTGTGACAATGGACCTTTTACAATCTAAGTCAAGTTGCAATATCATTCTTCCATCCATCTGTGTAATGAGACCAACTGGTGGAAATACAGAGTGAAATTTCTATGGAAGAGAGGAGATTCTAATGAGGCAAAAAACAGTGAAGCTTATAGCTCATATATTAGGTTTTATCAACCTTAGTAACACCAAATGGTTGGAAGAGTGACATTGTAAGGGATTTTGTGAATTGATATAAATTATGAAGTGCAGAGTTACTAAGTGCAATTAGCCCTTCAATAACAAGTCTTCCAAGTAACAGCTGTGGAGTAAACAAGTAATCAGTAAAAGAATTTCAATTTGATTGAAGGTAACCAGTCTTCCAAAAGAAAACAGCAGTGGAGCTCCTAATGAGCCAGAAAAACTCAACCAGAGTAATTGAGGGAGGGAAGAGATTACAAAATAAATCAAACAGGACACCCAACCCTGAAGGGGGTTTATCGTTGAATACACAGACCATCCTAACAATAATCTTAACAAAAGCCATGAAGAAAATGACAATGTTTGCAAACTAACCCAAACCCATGAAACCCGCTCAATTACACCCATTTAAACCCTTGAGTTTAAATGCATTAAATCTTGCAAACCCAATTAAAATTGAGTTTAAATGGGTTGGACATAAAAACCCATATAAACTCGTTTAAATAGGTACCTCCTCCACACCACCAACTCCATTCCACAACTACCACCACTACTCCCCCTGTACCACACCACCACTGGCACTCCATCTATTGGGGATAAAAATTCATAAAGTAAATGGGTTGGTCGGGCTCATTTGTACATCCCGTATCCAATTCAACTCGACCAGCTACAACCAGTTTATTAAATAGGCAGAGTGAGTTGGATTGTTTTAAATGCATAAACCCATTTTGACTTGCCCAAACTCACCCATTTGCCACCGCTATTCAACATACAATACACAAACTAGCTTACCAATGATCTTAACAAAAGCAAAGAAGAAATTGACATAGTGTTTTCAAACTAAGGCATAACTTCAAGGTCCCAGTTGTAAACAAAAGGATGGAATACCCTAATTAGTGTCATAAGCTATAATTAGCCAGGATGCAGTGAGGGTCGCCTAGAGCAATTGCTTATAGTTAAGCTAGAAGCCTAGAACTAGCTCTATTGTCATTGATTATTCCATTTACGCAGATCGTATTGGATACAAGAATGAAGTTAATCTAAATTACTATCCACAACTTGGACAAACAATAAAAATTGCGGCTAATTTTTAGAAGTTCCAAGTTGCAATATTTGCATATCCAAAACAAGGGAAGTGATATCTACTCTCAAATCTTTAATTAATATTGACGATACAATTTGATGTCACTGTCAGGGATGCTAGTTGTCCAAATAATTGTTTTAAGACTACAAATTTGTTTCCTTGTGATTCTATTGAGAAAAGAAAACATGGATAATTTAAAACTATACATGTAAAAAGTTTTCAATTTTCCTAGCATCTCTAACGAAACTTCTGTCAATTAATTGAAACCTTGTTATGATGGCCTAAGATTTGCAAATATCCCATACACCTCAGTTTATAATACATTGACCGCAATAAAATCTAAATTATACATCAAAATTGTACTTGTTCTTCCCTAACAGCAGATGATGTATTGTATTATCTAAAGAATGATTTGATAAAAATAAATTGAAGAAAAATATGATAAAAATGCTACATAGCAAGACTTGGTTGCCATGAAAGGCTATTGTGTGTCAAAACTGGGGGCAGAAGCATGAAAGACTACCTTTAAGATCTCTTCACGACAGCCGTAGCAAAGTATGGATGGTGGATGAATTCAAAGTAGACCTTTAGCGATGGGTCTAGAGTCCCTAACCGGGATATGAGATTTAAGGCAACACCATTGTGTTCTGCAACCTGCTCAATCCGTCGTAGTTCTGCCATTCTCTCTGGGTCATGGGAAAAACTATTCCTGAGCTCCTTCGCAATCTTCTGAGCATCTTTGAAACAATTGTGCGTAACGAGAGTCTGCAGAGGAAGACTCATTAATGCTCATACGAGATTATCATAAAAAGAAATACAGTATTTTAGAATACTCACGGATAAACGAGCATGGGTAGTAGATTCCTTAAATGATAGGTATGATATGTGATCGGGAATGGAAGCTTTCTGTAGAAGCTCAAAGTGCTGAATGAATCTCTGTTGAGTGGAAAAAGAAAAGAAAGAAAAAAAGAATAAGCATGTTTGTGGTGAAACACCAACAACGTTTTGATTGAATAGAATTTTCACACCTTGACTTATTTAGCTATAAATTAGAAAGCAAGCAAGCTTCACATTATGGGTTAAGAGGATCAGTTAGTGTATACATCATTCAAAGAGACATGTTATTCGTTACCACAGCATTTATTCACCGTTTTATGCAACTTCATAAGTGTATTCATGCAACAAACTCCATGTGTAGGGCCCATCATATTTGAAAAATAATAGAATACGCCATGCCAAAAGGGATGCTACATAAGAATTGAAAATATTTGGTGAAATTTACTGGTGATATATAGCAACCCTCTCATTCAAATAATCAAATTTTCTTGCTGAAGTAAACTTTAAGAAAGGCCGTTTAAGTTGTCGATTTTCCTAAACCCCAGCCTTGGGAAAGACAACAGGGCACAACAGGGCACTTTCTATTTGATAGTCAAGTCACCAATCCCTTTTTTTTTTTTTTTAAGCAATGGTCAAGTCACTAACTTTTAAAGCAAATAACATAAGATAAAGAATACATAAGTTGGCAAGAAAATGAACCAATTACAATGTTTGCCCACCACATCTCTTACTCAATTACTAGGAAAAAAAATGTGAAATGACAAACAAATGTTACCTCATGCTCAGTATTAAATTGACCTGCACTTGGAAAGACCTTGTGTTCATTCCTCAGAGCAGCAAGCATCTGGAAAAGCTGAAAACTGATTAACATACCATTTGCAATACAGCGATAAACACTCGTGCTAAAAACTCAGATCCACAACATAGGTAAGTGCAGGTCAATTTAACTTCAGAAACCTCACAGAGAGACCTACCAAATAGGGTGCATATCTACTGATGTATGAGATCCAAGCATCAAAAGAGATGGAGGACATATTCTCCCCACATTCATGTTTTCAAGGTTTTCAAACATAACTGAGGATTTCTAAGTACAAGAAGCGCAATTACCATTGAGAGGCCTTCAGCAAGATATATATGGCACTGAAGTAGCAAGACAATAGGAGGGATCTGATAATCTTTTGCCAGATCCTTTACAGCATCTTTTTTCTTCTTCCCCTTCCGTTTACCTGATCAACAAGTATAGAATACAAACAAATATAATTCATTAGTAAAGTTAAAATGTCGCAACTTAAGAAACCATAATGTGCAGGGTAACACAACTTATTTCAACAATCACCACACAAGCCTTTGCTTCATAAGAAAATTATATATTTTGAAACTATTGCCAGAAAAAACATTTGCTTGCAGGCAAAGATAGCTAGAACACCAACTAGGGAGCCCTACCTAAAAGTTTGATATCTCATCCCAAATTGACGCAAGCAAACAATAATACCCACCCAATATACAGTTTTCTCTTAACAATTTTGTTAATTCCCTGACCATCCAGAGAAATGTGAAAGAGCAAATGTTCAGAGTTATCCATGACATGATAAAGGTTCTAAGAAATCATTTTTGAACTTCATTTATTCTTTGGGTGCAGATAATCTCAAAGTAAAAACAAAGTGGCACTCGAGTTCACTTGCATCTGTACATGTGTACAACTCAAGCTAGCAAATCTCGTATATCCTTTATGAACATTTCTGCCAAACAGCATGCTCACCAGTTTCGTTGCTTGTCAACATCTTCAGATGTGTTTTCTCTGCAAGTTTGATGCAGACAACATAAATATACCAATATACCATGCAGTATTCACCAGGTGAGTATAGCTCTAGTTCAAAGCCCAAAACGAGAAAACGAGAAGCTATCCAGTATGTTTGCTCCTCTACCCAGACAAGGATGTGCTTGGATATCTTCATGCATAAATTCTGTAGAACCAATTAGATAGACATGAAAAATATATTATTGACCAAAAGACCAAGTTCAATGATGTTTAACATAGGAAAAGAAAGAAAATATTATCAAGCTGATGCTGGAACCGCTAGAGGACAGTCAGTTTCAATCTGATGCATTTACTGAATGCCAATTAGTTAACCACAGACACACTAGACAGGTAAGTGAATGGACAGTTCCGGCAGGGCCCTATGGCAGCCACGTCTCCCTTGGACCAGAATGATGATCCCTGCTTGATGTGTCTACAACCTATTAGATCCTAAGAAGTATGGACACGGACACGGACACGGACACGGACACGGAACATAACATGGACACACTGACATAACAATTTTTAAACATGCAGGGCACAACACAAGAAGCGCAAAATATATAGTTTTAGGGTGATTCTATTTATACACCACTAATACTCTCAGTACACTTTAGTACACAATAATTTTTAGGGTTCAAAAATATCTTATTTCACACCTTAACTTGTCATTACTAATCCTATATTAACACACCACTAACTATTTGAATATACACCATTATGCACACCAAAAACTCTTCATCTTCACCATTACACACAACAAAAACCACACAATCTTCAGAACAAAGACCATCTTCATTAGTCTTGATCTCCATCGCTAACAAAGGTTTCATTCGGCCTCCATCTTCCCTGGTGTTGATCTCTATAGTTGGTATTGAACTCTCATCGTGTCTCATCTCATTGTTTCGTCATTTCAGATCACCGGTGGAGTGTTTCATTCAACCTCCATCTTTGCCAGTGTTGATCTTCATTGTCAATGTTTAACAAATTCATCAAATTAGTCATGTTCAAGAATACCAAGTTGAACAAACTTAATGTGTTCAAAATTTTATAACTGAACGACGAATAAAAGTTAAATTTGTTTTAACCGAACTAACTTAATGTTCAATTTTTTTTATGTATGAATATTTAATGTTTGGTCAATCTTAACAATTTGAACAAAATTATTTTGTTCAAATATAAATAATCAAACATTTTGTAAAAGTTCAACTCTGGTTATCCGAACACAACGAACAAACTCATCTTCCGAACATACGAACGAGATAAATAAAAAGACCAAAAAGCTAAGTTATAAACTAACTTTTTCAATGTTCAAATCAACATTTTCAATGTTTATATTGGAACCAACCATCTCAGTGTCATCCATGGTATGCAAATTTTCAAAACTAATTGATGTCAATGTTCTTAAACCCTAAATCTTCAAAGGCAATAATGTTTTGAATTTGAAAAATAAGTATAATGGAAAAGATAATGAAATGAACTATTTATCAACAAAAAAAAAAAAAAAAGAAATAGAATGAAGTGAACTAATTGATAACAAATGATATCATGAGTGTATGTTAATGGTGAAGATGATGAAGAAATACAATGTTCATATGTTAAAACCCTAAACCCTGTAAGGATCATGGTGTGTGTTAAAATTTACCATCACCTACCACACACTTACCATCACCTACCACACACTCACCTACTCCACTACACCTACATCTATATAAGGAACCATTTGTAATAGACAGATACAACAACATATCAATCAATAATACATAAATTCTTACATGGTATCAGAGCAAGGTTAAGAACCTAATATTTTCGTTCCACCGGCGGGCGGCAATCTCGCCTTGGCCGCCCGCCGGACAAACCCAACACAGACCAGCCACACATAGACACCATTCTCTCTTCTCTCTAACACAAACCCAGCAGCTCACACACACACCCATCACCTCTCCCTCTCGACATACACACACATATGCATGGCAGTTCTCTCTTCCGGAAAACACACAGACAGCGTCACTCACCTTGACTGCTTCATGTTCTTCTTAGGCCGAACCTTCCACCAACAGAAACTTCACCTGAATCTGGCTATGGTCTGCCAGGATCACCACCACCACCAAGTTGTGGCTGTGCTCTCTGCGTTGTGCCTTCTTCGCTGTCTGCAGATGGCTTCATCCACTGTCAACCATGGCTCAGAAAAAAAAAAAAAACAAAAAAACCCCATCGTTCCCACGAGGATCTCATTAACAGCGTCGAATATGAGCTTCCGGTGAAACTTTTCCTTGTCATTCTTCATAAGAACAACATTTTCAAATGTTAGATTCTTCTTTTTGTCTAGTGCTTGCTTTGGTTTGTTCCAAAACCAAGAATAACTCGGGGTTGATTGGGTGGCCAGATGGGTGGAGCTGAAAGGTTGTCGTGCTTGAGTTGTGGTCCCTCTCTCTCTCTTTTTGTCCCCCCACCATAATTGTTTCCACCACCCACCTTTCTTCTTATTTTCTTTTTATATATATATATATTGTTTTTATTCCTCCAACTCACCAACCCCATTTTACTTTTCTTCTTTTGCTTTTTTTATTTTTTCTTTTCCTCTATTTTACACCACCCACGTGATCCCACTACCTACTGCCTTTCGTCTCTCTCCTCTTTCCACTTTCAAACCTACATTCCTTTTTTTTTTTTTTTTTTTCCACCCACTTTCCTCAATTTTATATAAACTTTTCTATTATTTCCCTTCCTTTAAAACCAACCTTTATTTTTTATTCTAACAGCCATTAGCTACTTCCTCTGTACATCTGCCACTTCTGGATAAAAAAAAAAAAAAACACAACACACTTTCCAAATTTGCACAACAGCCCATCCTTTTATTCATATCAGGGGATCAACCCCGATCACACTTTTACATCAAAAAAAAATAAAAATAAAAAAAAATAAAAAAAATAAAAAAAAAAACAAAAAAAACAACAACAACAACCTCATCCACAGGCGGGATTTTTCTTCTCTACTCTGCCGCCGGTCTCTTCTTCTTGCCTCCGTCCTGGACGGTTCTTGACGGTGCTACCTCAGTACTTCCTTGTCCACCGAGCACGTTCACTCCCCCATACTCCTCCACTGCAGCATATGGCGGCCCTCCAAATCGGAACATCACGGTGGCCTTCCGCTTCAGCTCCTTATTTTCCGCCTTTAGCACACTTATCTCTGCTCGCGCATCCTTATCAATGCGTTGGAGCAGAGCCAGCTGAAGTTTAACTGCTGCACCTCATTTGCCCTACTCTGCAGCCGGTTCGACAAGTTTGTAACGGCAGTCATGGTTTCCACACATGACTTCAATGTATACTGATTGGCTTCCACATCCGACTGCACTGCCATTCTTTGCTCCACAGACCGCATCGGAAAGTTCAACGGAGCAACTCCGGGCGCTTGGTTGAGGTTCCAGTGCCACCGCACCAGTTCTCTCTCTTGTTGACTCGTTGAGGTCGGGAAAGAGGGTGAGCAGACCGCGGGAAGACGAAGCCATTTTCTGGGCAACAGCGTGTTACAGACTATCTCTCTCAGCAAAAGGAACTATCTCTCTCAGCAAAACGAAGAATTTTTTCAGAGTTTTTCACAGAGTTTTTTTTTTTCTCAGTTTCTTGTCTCAGCCTCTGCCTCGGCCTCAGCCTCCGTCTTGATTAAATAGCCGAGGCAGCCACGCGTATCACGCGCCCTTGCGCCAGACGACAAACGGGCGCGCCAGCCAAGGCACTCACGTGCCTCGCCATCATATCTGGCTCGCCTTTTTAATGGATTGGGCACGCCTTTTGATGGCACGCCTTTTTGAAAAATTAGGCACAACTTTTGAGGGTGCGACTTTTTAAGGGTCCGACAAGCTCCTGTAAACTGTCCCGACATTGATTCCGGTTAGCTCCTTCAAGGGTCGACAAGACTCTGTAAACTGTCCCGACATTGATTCCGGTTTAGCTCCTTCATGGGTCCGACAAGACTCTGTAAACTGTCCGACATTGATTCCGTTAGCTCCTTTATGGTCCAACAAGACTCTGTAAACTGTCACAACAACTGTCACAACATTGTCTGCTACATCGGTTCGACATGACCCCATAAACTGTCTTCTACATCGGTCTGACACCGCCATCCAGTGTCCTCTACCACGTTATGGCACCACCTTTCAGTGTCTTCACCAACGGTCTGACACGACCATACAGTGTCTCCTATCCTCTTTTATTTTTATGTATTTTCTTGTTTTGTTACTCTCTCCAAACTCAAGTTGGTTAGTTTCTATCCTCCTTGAGTTTGCGGGGGGCTGTTAAAATTTACCATCACCTACCACACACTTACCATCACCTACCACACACTCACCTACTCCACTACACCTACATCTATATAAGGAACCATTTGTAATAGACAGATACAACAACATATCAATCAATAATACATAAATTCTTACAGTGTGTGAAGAGTATTTTGTGCTTTTAAATATGAAATTTTTGAATAGATAGAATACACCTCATGTTGTCCTTAATGGTCATTTTATTGAAGGATATTATTGGAATATAAATTTAATCTATTAATGGTGTATATTGAGAGTATTAGTGGTGTGTAAATAAAATCACCCATAGTTTTATATACTGAATAAGGTTAATTACATTTTACCCCCTCAACTATCACTGATTATTACCCTACCCCCCCCAACTATTAAAAATAGTACAAAGACCCCCTTCATGAAAACCAATCTTTTTTTAATACCAGCATTAGCAAGGAAGTCGGCACAAATCTTTCCCAACTATTAAAAACAGTACAAAGCCCCCCTTCATGAAAGTCAAGTAATTTTACTAGTTGGGGGGTAAAGTGTAATTAACCCTAATTATTATGTCACATATATAAATATTTCATTCAAAGATAATAAAAATACAACATAACACTTTCTAAAGTTTAAAGAATGAGTGATTAATAGGGTAATAATCTACATTATTTTTTTCTTTTATCATACGATGCCAAGTTATTTTGTTTAAGCTTATGTGTTTCATGTGTGTCTAACTGATGGATAAATAAATCCCCCAAGTGCCCGAAGTGTGTTCGGAACACGCCACTTTCTTAGAAGTGTCCATTTGCCCATTAGTTCATGTTTCCTACAACTTTTCAAATCCTACTTGAGGTGATTGAATAAATTTAGAAGGAAAGGATGAACAAAAAGAATAGTTTATTAGCATCAAGCTTTTAAGTGGCTAGTGGGGCTAGTTTGGTAATTTAGTAAACAGAAACCAAATAGAAGCAGCAGCACAATAATCAAAGAATGAGAAAAACGGTTTTCCTAATTATTTAATTACACCATTTTAAGATGTTAACACCTCTTCTTCCCAGAGTTCCCCTAAGTGTGTCTGAGATCTCTGCTTGGCACCATCTACTTGCCACTAGGGATGAGAATAGCCATGTCAAAAATAGAAATGAAGAGAATGTTGATGCTCTGCTAACAAGCATAGATACAAACACATGACATGCTGACACGCTAATTTTAAAAAAAGTGGTGCCCCACAGGAACACAAAAAGAAATATTCACATATAATTATTATGTCATGTATATATGAATATTTTACACAGGTAATAAAAATTCGGCTTCAAACTAATTTAAAAACTAATTAAAAAATCCACTCTCCATAAGCATCAAATTTAAAAATTTATAACACAATCCATATTCAAAAAATGTTTCCTATAACATAATAATCAAAATTACTAATTTAAATAATTACAATCACAGTAGGCTAATTGTTCCCCCCATACCACAATAAAAATTAGGGCAAATTACACTAACATCTCTTTTAGTAAGTTTAAATTTGGCTAAAAAATTCTATATATACTGACAAATGAGCAACATACCTCATATTTATCCACAAAAAAAAAATAAAAATGAGCAACATACCTCATCAATTGAAGTGCTTGAGATCTCTCCAAATTCCTTTCTAAAAGACAACTCTAGCTGTAAGAAGAAGGTTTTTTAGCAACCGAATGCATTAATCAGCCCCAGACAGTTGTTTATTACCAAGGAAAACCCCATATTGCTAAGTTGACATAGATATTGAAGAAGCATAATAACAATGGCATGATGGTAACAACTTCTATGATTAAAAAAAAGAGCATATTTAACTTATGTACCATAGGTACTGGTTACTGCAGCAACCAATCCATGCATTCATCTTCAACAATAATATGAACTTAAAATCATATCACATATCGCCTTGTTAAAAAAAGGAAAAAAGAAAAAAGAATAATAGCTTGGGTGACAATAGATAAAATGTTCCACATCTCAATGAGATAACTGAGAAACCCAACCAAGAGATATATGTATGGAGTGGAATATAGTAATTCAGCTAATTCACCACCCAGCCAAAGTGTTTGGAAGGATGGAATAGACATAGACCTAAGCTTCAGTGCTATCGGTACAAATACAATAATTTTACAGATAAATCTTAGTCCTTGAGCTGTGTTTTGCGACCTATAGTTACCAACACCACAGGCTGTAGTTAGACAGGTGAAATATTGTTGCACACTAGGGTATGCGTATCCAAATGCTTTCTATTTTCATCTCTCACAACATCAGATGCAAGACATTTCTAGCATAGTCATGTCACATATTTATGGAGTCCAACAACATAAGCCATAAATCACAAAAGTCAAGCCCTTTCTCACTCGGTGCCATAATAAGTCAAATCCGTAAGCCCTGAGTCAAAAAAAGTAATGTTAAAGTCAAACTCTGAAGCCAACAAGTACGGTTTTGAACTTCTCTAAGAAACTGTTGATGTCGCAAGTACAAGAGCCTTTAGTTAATTAAAATCTTTACCATACTTATCAGTCAGCCATCATAAATTCATTAATGATCAGAATGCACAAAAAATTGATGTCAGAAATCATGAGGATGCACTGAAGGGAGATAACAGAATGTAACATCCTTAAACGAAGACAAAGCACCAATGGAAGTAAAGTGAGTTTGAGAAGATAAAGAAAAACAAGACCAGTGAAATAAATTGCAAGCAGCACAGTATACATTTTTTTGATAAGTGGCAAACCTGTATATAAATGACTCGCCAATCTTGTAAAATTTTCCCAAGCTTACGCCTCTGCCATGCAGCATTTGTACAAATAATTTTAAGCAAACTGATCACTAGCTGCAACATCAAAACACACATGAGATATATTAGACAAAACAATTTTTTACAATAAGTTGGAGTACACAAAACAGAAACAACAATCCAACATGATGGCAAGCCATTTTGTGCTCTAAAAACTAATCTTAGCTTGATGACAACAAACTGATAACTGGATTTCACATGACAATACCCTGGGTTTGAAAAGAACTTGAGTGTAGATCAAAGAACAATAGACATCACCCAAAAAATGTATATATGCAAGTATACACAGGAAAACTAGTTCAAAGTGTTTTTAAAACAAATAGGGATCTCGTGATTTTTACCTGCCCTAGTTGCACAAGAACTTCATTCTTTTGAATATCATGGTTCTTTGAGGCTTCAGGCAATGCTGCAGCTTTAGAAATCACAGCAAAGATAGGATCCCGTCCATAGAGTTTCCCATCTTGAACCAGTAGAAGCTGTTCATTATTTTCCAGGGTGAGAAGTCAACAATAACATGATAAACTTGTAAGAGAAAAAAAGCCCCATTTGGAGTTGCTGAAATAGGGACATGTAGGGAATTATCACTTTCGCGTGCGGTTATGTTTGAAAGCAAGTGTGCGGGCACCACAAAAAATAAGCTAAGCACCCTCAGAGTGATCAAAAAGCTAGCTTTGTGCTTTATGTTTAGAGGAAGCACCCCAACTAAATGCCCCATCGGGTGCCTCTGAGCGACCCCTAAACAAGACCAAGGAAGGAACATGGTATACCAAAAAGAATATTGCCTTTAAATTTTAAAAAAGGAAAACCACCAAATATAGCACAAATTCCACTAATTGGACAAAAAAAATAAAATAAAATTCTTAAAATGAGGACAGTTACCAAGGCTCAAGAATCCCTTTTCTTTTCTTATTATCTATGATGAAGAAGAGCCAATGTTTGTATAATATAAATATCACCATAAATATAATGACAACAATAATCATAATAAAAAAATTTGAGGTCATCTGCACTGATCTTGACATACATCAACGATATATAATGGCCGGGAAAATGCTTTTTTTGGGATGGGAGGAGAGGTTTCGAAATATTAGGCAAGACGTGCTTCCTAGAGTGGTTTCAAATCCCTATCATGTGGTTCTTAAGAGTTTTTTTTTTTTTTTTTAAATAACTGCGAACCGTGTCCTTTGGTCCCACCCCAGGAGAGTAAACCCAAGAATCAAGCTACACCCCCTAATCATCGCATGATCTGGGCAAACGTGATGGGCCAACAAGAGTCGAACTTGAGTTGGGCATGTAGGGAGCATACTGACTGACTAACTAGGCTACTCCCTCAAGGATCCTTGAGAGCTGCCCTGTCAAGTGGGGTCCATCATCCTTTAGGTTAGACCAGGCATTGACGCTTTGGATTGGGCTCCACTTGATGCTTCTAAATATAGGTCATTGGAGAAGCCTTTTGACGAAGCGGAAATCAAAGAGGTAATTTTCGATTGCGAGAGGGACAAATCATCGAGAGCTGTTGGGTTTACTTCAGCCGTTTTCCAAGACTATGGGAATGGTGTTAAAGAAGACCTGGTTCATGATCTCAAGGAGTTTTTAAAGAATGGGGGGTGAAGGCTTGTACCGATGCATCTTTTATGTGTTTGATTCCTAAAAGAGAGAACTTTATTAATATCAGTGACTTTCGGCTGATTAGCTTGGGGACATCTTTATGTAAAATTTTGGGTAAAGGTATTGCTTTAGCTCGGGGAGCTTTTGTGGATGATCGCCAGATTTTGGATGTTCTGGTGGTTGCCAATGAGGATGTGGAAGATTATAGAGGTTCTAATAAAAGGGGTTTAATTTTTAAGTGGAATTTAGAAAACTTATGATCATGTAGATTGAAATTTCTTAGATTTTGCGTTGCAAAGAAAAGGATTTGGCAATAGATTGAGGAGATGGATCCTTGGTTGCTTGTCGTTTTGCAATATGTCTATCATTGACATTGTTAATGGTAAGGTGGGAAAAAGTTCTAATGTATCCAGGAGTCATAGGCAAGGTTATCCTCTGTCTCCTTTTTTTACCTTGGTAGTGGATGTCATGGTGAGGATTGTCGATAGGGCTAAGGTGGTTGGTCTTGTGGATGGCTTCATCAATGGAAAGGATCGTGTCTCAGAATCTCATCTACAATTTGTAGATGAAAGTATCGTTCTTCCTCCTAGGGAGGAATCTAAGGTTGTTAATTTGCCTTTGGATTTGAGAATTTTTTAGATTATTTCAATCCTTATTCAAAGTAATATTGTGGGTATTAATATCCATCAGGGAAGGTTACAAAGGTTGGCAGGAATTTTAAGATGACATATCGAGAGTCTTCCTTTCAAATATTTGGGATCTTCATTGGCAGAAAAACCCTAGCGTGGAATCTTTTTGGGCTCCAATGTTAGAAAAGATTGGTACAAGAATGGAGGAGTGGAAGAGAGCTTTGTATTCTAGAAGAGAGGTATACTTTAGTGCAATCAGTTTTGCATAGAATTCCAATTTATTATTTGTCTTTGTTCCATAATTGCACAAAGCAGAAGCAGGAGGGGGAGGGGGGCAAGGATGAGGGAGGGGGAGCAAGGGCCCTATAAAAGAGTTTAAGGTTGGGAGCAGATGCAAATGGGAGAAGTGAGGCCTCCATAGAAGATTCCTGCTACTAGGCTTTGTTTAAGATTTTGGTTGAGCTGGCAAATCAAATCAAGAAAATGATAAGGGATTTTTTTGTGGGAAGGCGTAGATGAAAGAAGAAGGATCATTTGGTGAGGTGGTGTCCCTTCCCAAAGGCAAACATTCTGAGAAGGAATAAAGCTCTGCTTGGTAAATTTTTACAGAGGTTTTTCTTTGAGTGTGATTCCTTGTGGATTATGTTATTAAAGAGTAAGTATAGGTTCCAAGCTAATAGGAGGGATCTTGTGACAACCCCGTCACACACTATGTTCTTAATTCTTTAATTATACATGCGCTTATGTGTTAGGTGTGAACTTGAATGTTAATTATGTGATTAATGTGGCTTTTGACTTCATATCTATTGATCATAGAAATATTTGATATGATTTATATTACAATCTGAAAATTGAAGGCCTTAATGACAACAAAAACCAAAATTGGTTGGTTTATTAGGATCAACATAATTTTTAGAACCTATTAGAAAGTTTGATTAAAATTTGATTCAGATTAAATTAATTAAATTAAACTAATTAGAACTAAGTGTTATTAATTAATCTTGATTAACACCCTAATCTAATCCTCAAGCATATATATGTTGTAATTAAGAGCTTGAACCCCTTAATCATAATTTGAACTCAAAAATTCTGAGATAGAGAGTTTTAGAGAGAGAGAACTCAATTTTTAGAGAGAGAAGAGCTTGAACTTGAAGAATTTGCTAAGCGGCTTGTGTATTGTGAAGTAGAAGCTCAAGAACTTGCTAAATTGGGCTCAATTGAAGACCCTAGGTAAGCTTTTAAACCCTAATTCATGAAACTAAGTCATTTCATATGTGAATTCAAGAAGATTATGTGTTTAAATTTAAGAATTGAGCTTAGAATGAAGAATTGGAGGTTAATTCATACATGCATGCATAGTTTTGTTGAGTTTAACCATTTTTTAGCATGATTTTGTCATCCATGTTGAATTTGGAAGATGAATTGTATATGCATGCATGAATTACAAGGTTTTGAAAGTGAATTGCATATTTTTATAAACTTTGGAAAGGAATTTGAAGTTTAATCATACATGCATGATCATTTGAGTTGAATTCATAAAGTTTGGCAATGAGGCTTGAGAATTGGTCTTGAATCGATGTTTATAGACGAGTTCTAAGTGTTTGAGAAATTGTATACAAGCCATGCAAGAGTTTGATTTAAAAACATAAGTTTTGAAGTTCAATTCTGTTATGAAATTTCCAGAATTCTGTGTCACCGCTCGAGCGAACAATTTGTCGCTCGAGCGTATATTTCATGCATCCCGTATTTTTGCAGACAAATACAATTGGCTCGAGTGACCAAGTCACCGCTCGAGCGACCGCCTTTTATCTTGCACCTTAGCTGAAGCGAACATCGAGCCTAGATTCAGACCATCCAATCCTTTTGCAGACCAAGTGGTCCGCTCAAGTGATCAATATTGCGCTCGAGTGAAGTGATCTGTTTCAGCAAATTTTGAAAAGACATATTCTGATCACATGTGCATTCTCATTTCTTTCTGAGCATTCTTAGGCATGAATTGAATATTCTAAATGAATTAAAGAGTTAGAAAGAAACTTAAGAGAATTAAATAAGTTGACAAACGGATTGAATAAGTAACGTGATTCAGTGTACGTACGTATTTATGTGAACTGTAGGTTTATTTGTAAGGACGAGTCAACAACCGAATCACTGTGAGTAATATCTTAGTAAAGATATTTTCTTACTTTATTTTCTGAATGTCCTAATGTGGTAAGCTTTTCTGAAACTGTGATTTGCAAGTGTGAATGAGTTTCTATCTTTTTAATCAATATGATATTTGTAAATGTGATTGATGTGACATGAATGTGTATGATGGACCTAAGGTTGTTCTGTATATCTAAATTGGACCCAAGGTCATTCTGTGTAATTGAAATAGACCCAAGGTCGTTCTGTACATTTGATAAGAGGGACCCAAGGTCGTTCTGAACATCTGATAAATTTGATTATCTGTTATGAGGTGATCGAATGGTCATTATACAGCTATAAATGATTGGACCCGAGGTCGTTTTGTTATGATATGATCAATTCCATTTTGTACATCTGTTATAAGTTGAACCCAAGGTCGTTCTGTTATTTGTTGGACTCGAGGTCGTTTTGTTATGTATTGCTTATGATATAGAAATGCTTATGTCCATTACTAGAACTCAATCACATAATCTCTTTACTCTGATATTATTCAGTAGGCGTTAGCTCACTCCATTTATATATATATGTATGTAGGTGAGCAGTGGGATATCCAGCCCTAGCCTTAGTGAACTTGGGAAGGATACCGAGTTTTGAGAAGTCTGTCATGAGCGCCTCACAAGCGAGGCTTTTGTTTCTTTTGTCTCTTTTGTCTTTTGATTTTCTGTTTCCTTTTGTTGGTCATGCTCGACCACTGTATATAAGTTTGGTGTTTGTATGTTGATGACATATGATTGATCTTCGACACATGGAATCTTTTTGTGTATGTATGAGTGTGAGTTATTAATATATAAGAAGTTTTTGTTTATGCTATTCATACACAAGCTCATTAGACAAAATTTTATATTTCTACTTCTGCTTCTGACCCCATATAATTAAATTCGATTTGATTTCTGTCTAAGGCCGTAGTAGGTAATCTCATGATTTCTATCTAGTTATGATCCAAACCTCTGGGGGCGGGTTCGGGTCATGACAGATTCTCTTGTGGTTAATAGGGGTAGTTGTCGACCTCCAAGAAAATCTATTTCTCATATCTTTCCTCTTTTCTCACAGCTCTTGTCCTTGAAAGTGGGTGATTGGGAAAGTACTCTGTTTGGAAAGACGTTTGGGTGGGTTGATTCTTCCTTTGATGTTCGTTTTCCTCATTTGTATTGTTTGATTTGTTTTCAAAATGTTTCCATCGCCCTTATGACTTTGTCTCAGTCAACTCTGATTTCATGGAACACTGAACTTTTTTAGAAATCTTAACAATCATGAAACGGATAAATTGGCTTCTCTGTTGACCATTATTGACGATAATATTTCATTGAGATCTAATGTTAGTTATAAAAGGCGGTGGGTGATCACTTGATACCTTCAGGTTTTCCTAATGCAGGTCTTTCTTTGATAAGATTATTGATAACTCAAATGTGCTTCTCACCTATGTTATATGGACTCGGCACTTTGGGGTGAAGTACTCGTGTCGACATGACACGACACGGGTGCGGGTGTGGGATCTATGTCGGATTCTCCTCTACTCTCTCGGACACGACTCTTTACAAATGGCGACAAAAGAAATGAGAGGAGAGCAAGAACCAACCTGGTCGCTGTTCGAAAGGGCAAGACATGGGTCGTCGACTTCAATCTCTCTGGTTGATGGACGAGAGAAGACATTGGTCGCCAACGTCACCGACTTCGAGAGACGAGAGAGAAGACATTGGTCGCCGACTTCGCTCGATCGAGAGACGAGAGCAAGAAAAAACTTTCGCTCAATCTCCCTTCTCTCTCTCTCTCTCTCTTCTTCTTTTTGTGTCTTCTCTCTGTTCTCTCTTCTCATCTTTGACTTCTCTCTTTCATCTCTCTGCTCTCTTCTCTTTTCTTATCCTTTGATTACATTTATATTATATTATTCATATTATACAATACATTCACTCATAAAAAATTGAATAATATAATATATTATAAATAATATAATTTTTATATCTAAAATAAAAATAACTTATTTTATCATATATAATATAATTTATTTTATATCTAAAATAATTTATATTTATTATTTATATTTTATTTGTTATTTTTTTAACAAAATTTGTTATTCCTTAGTTTTTTTTTTTTTTTAAATTCATCTTCATATAATAAATTTATTTTTTTTAAAAAAAAATATTTAACGTATTCCCGTACCCGTATCCAAATTCAGATTCATATCCACGTATCCTCAATTTTTAATTTTGAAATGTCCGATCCCTAGATACGCCCCCGCACCCGCACCCGATACTCGTACCCGAGTCCGTGTAATTTAGCTTCTCACTCATCCTCATAAAGGATATAGTATCTAGAAAGCAATCGTGCCTCTACGATTTTTATGTGGACTTTTGCTTATAGTAGTCTCATAACTAATGACATTTTTCAAATATGGAGACCTAATTGCAATCATTGCCTCAATGGTGTACCATATGTATGGAGATGAGGAATCTTTGGATAATTTACTTTTGCGTTGCCGCTAGCTTTGTCTTTATGATCCCAGCTTTTTTAAATGGGGCACACTTGTTCGGTAGTCCCCACTTCTCGTTTCCAGCAGCTTTTGATTGATTTTGGGGATTTTTGGTTCAATGCAAAAACAAAAGTATTATAGGACACTGTTTGTTTCATGAATTTTTGGGTTATTTGGTTCAAATGAAATGTTAGGAATTTTGTGAATAAGATTGACATTGAAGATGTCAAGTCTTTATAGAATAAAGTTTGTTATTTGTCATCTTTTTGGATCTCACTTTCCCTCTTTTTCAAGAGATCCCACTTCTGTATTTTATTTTATAAATTTGTAGAAATATGAGGGCAGTGTAATTTGTAGTAGTAATAGTTCTCTGCTTGTTTTTCGTTTCTTGGATTCCTTGTTCTCCTTCTCTCTTGTACTTCTCTCCCTTTTTAATAAAAGTTCTTTTCATGCTGATAAAAAAAAATTCTTTGCCAAGGAAAAATAGTTGGAGATTATAGAACAAACCAAATGGATCACAGATTAGATTGGAGCATAGGAAAGAGCTTGTACTGGTGCCCAAAAATTTACCCAACATAGATATGAAACATTGAGGATTAGAGCCTCTTTGGCCATAAAGGCAGAACACAAGAAGCCTATACTGAAAATTAGAGCAAAAATAATTTAATAAAAAGCCTATCGTGAAATTTAGAGAAAGGATAAACAATACCAAAGCCATGACGGTTTGAAGGTCTGAACAGTCAAAGCCATGATGGTTTCAACAGCCCGAATCTTATTTCTATGTTCTAAAACTAACCATCCAAGTGCCTACCCCAGACAATTTGCATGGAATAAACTGGTTACATAATGAATGGTATTTGGGTTTGAACTATCGGATCCAGTTCAAGGTCTGAACAGCCAAACCATAAGTCTGGTCCCATTTTAAATACTCATGTTACCACCACCGCTGCCATCACCACTACAGTAGATGAATTGCCACTAATTTGCTGTCACTAACTTATTATCACCACAGCTGCTGCTAAAATTGCCATCATCACCATCATCACAACCTACACTATTATGATGCCACGTTCTACACCCTGTCCCAACCATTAGAATCTCTTCCACCAATTTACCAACATTAATACTCCAATTTTTTATTTTTTCCTTGATCAGCATAAACAAGTCAATGGAAGGCACCAAAAGGGGATATGAGGTAAGACACACACAGGCGGTATACGAAAAAAGGGCTACACACTACATATAGGCTATGCTACAAGGATTCTTCTAAATTCGCGTACCCATGCCATGTCAGACACTTGACACTTGGGTATGGAATATGTGTCCAACACCTCTAGTTCAATAGCACCCAACAAATATGTTTAAGTAGTAAAGCTTACCATGCAATTATGTATGGGCCTCCTATTATGTGCATGAAATAAGTATCTAATAAATATCAAATTTAGTGATGTCCTTTTGTACTTGGGCATGAAAATTAGATGAATCTGATAGTACACATACCCACAGCCAACAACAGTATGTGAGTCCATGGAAAACGTTTTTCATGATCAACAAAAAATGAGCGAAAAAACAACATTTCCTGGACTTAACAAGACCGGCGGTATACCAAGACCAACGAGCAGATTAGAGTCTTACCAACAATACCACCATTGTCACTACAACACCATGTGGTACATGTGAAAAAAATCATGTGGGTGACATTAATAAAATGAACACATAAATCAAGTGACATGCTATAACGATCAGCAATCAAATTTCAAGAAAAGGAAACAAAGTCAATGAACAAAAGGTGAAACAAGGTCTTGAGTACACAACCTGGAGATGAGCTCTTGCAACCAAATCGGGTTTAAATTTCTGGAACTCAACCACAAAGCGTAAAACACCTTCAAATAATGGGTCCAAAGAGTAGGAACATATAATGTCTAGATCATGAAGAAGTTTTTGGAAATATTCAACTGCCTGGTAGAAGAAAAAACAACAACAAACATAATTTATTTTGAAGTAAAAAACCCAAATATATCAGTTTTACTCTTCCATGCACTTACCTTTTTCCAGCTGAGAATTTTAATTGCCCGAGGTGGAGTAGGAGCAGACAATCTACAGTTCAAAGTGGCATCAAACCCAATTGGTTGACAACCGGAAGCTGTTGTTTTATCTCCTATTCCATCTCCACAAGTTCCACATGCATTGGACATTAGGAATTCTAATGATTTAAGAATGCATTCTAGCTCTGATAAGCAGGAAGCTATATGTTTTCTCGCTAGCTCCAAGCCTCTGCCTTGAGCTCGCTTCATAGATGTAAGAACATGGTTGAAGTGCTGAAAGCAAGGGAATATATGTTAAACATTACTGTGGAAACATCTACTGTTTTCATCTTTCATGATATGGATTAAATGCCATATGATATATTCAGGTATCCATGTGCAAGCATATAGAACCTTATTAAATAGCCGAATAGAACTAATTCAATATTGAACATAGCTGCAAGATGTGAAAGCCAAAGGATATTGGCAATTGTTTCCATTGTTGGATGCAGAACTACTACAGGTGTTTGACCCCAAAATATTCCTATAGGAGAGTCACAAGAAGTACTATCGAGGTTTGGAAACCAAGACTTATCTAACAAATACAAACAAGCAACGGCTTGAAGAAGTTTATGACGGCTATCTCTAACTTCAAACAAATGTGCACCAATAATTTTGGGTGACTGTTTGACTAGGAAAAATAGAACATTACAATTCATGGTGTAAGATAGAAGTTTCAGCAATTATTATAAAATTCAAATCCAATATATAGAATAACATAACAGAACTAGGTGTGAAAAAATGTATGTGAATGAACTTTTTAAGTAAGCAGCACATAACTTAGACATAAAGCAAACCATACAAGAGTTCAATCTCCTGAGTGCTTGCTTTGAGAAGCATTAAGTGTAATTAGAACAATTTGGCTTGGGTTTTGGTCTACAAATTTACCCCAAGAAAAGTACAACTATGATATGTGATGCAGCCTAGTGGATGCAACGTTTGCATGAAATTTGCCAATTGAACAATTAGAATTTTATTAGGAGTTGTTTCTAGATTTTTTTATTTTTATTTTTGAGGTTTTGCAGATGAAATTTTATGGATTAAGTAGGAGCCACGTTAGTTTTATATAGTAATTACTTGTTATTAGAGTTTTGTAAGACCTATAAAATAACCTTCTAGGGGAATAAACATATATTTGTAAGAGCTTTACTCCATCTCTCTCTATCTCCCCCTCTCACTTTCTTTCTTCTTTCCTCCTTATTCTTCCTTATTCTTCTCTCCCTTTTTTATCTCCTCCCATATCTTCACTCTATATTCGCTTCCTTTCTCCCATCTTTCTTTGCTTCCCCTCCTACCTTCTTTCTTCTACTTGCCCCAATATACTCATGTCCACCAATGTGGGATGTGTCCGCCACCCATACCCAATTTAGACACTTGGATCTTCTAATTTTATATAATGTTTCGAGAAGAAGACACTCACATTTGTTAGTAAAGAAACATTTCTAGCTTCTCACATGAATTGGAGATATAAATTCCTTATTTTTCCTACATCCCATTTAACTTGAAATACATTTCTAAATGATTTACAACATCATATCTAAGAATTACACAATATGCAATATATACTTAAGACATGTCTCGCAGTCCCAAAACCCATACCCAATTTTTGGATGCATATCCCACTATTCTAAGATTTATGTTTAGGAAGATCAAACCCCTGAACTTGTACACTCCCCCGATACTCGTATCCAAGTCCATGTAACATTCTTTTTCTTCTCATTTTATCTGAATAAAATCAGTATGCTATGCTTCATAAGCATTAAAGAAACATCCACCATGGAACAACCATTCCCTTGTAATAGTGAACAATGATTTCATTTACAATGCATTTTTCATTATTTTTTTGGTGAACCAAACATGAAAATAAACATTTTAATGGAATGATCATTCCATTTCACGTTTATTTCAATTAACCAAAAATACTTTTAAGTACAAGTTTGTTTCACCAAATAAAAGTAGTTGCATAAGAGGCTAATTAGATGAAATCCTATGAACCCGGAATTCAGTCCCAGATTTTTACCCATTATTTGTTTGTGGTGGAGGTTGAATGGCTGTAGAGTGGGGTGCATGTATAGAATGAATATGAGCCATGGATTGATATTTCTGGGTAAATTTTTTTTTGGGTGTGTAGTATTTGCTAGCTAATTAAAATTGAGAGCCACCCATTCTCTATTATACCATGGGACTATTGGATTATTTGTACGAGATTATTGTATTATGGTCTGTGAAAGTAAGATAAAACAAAAACTAGGATTTAAAACATTATTTTTACCGTTCAATGGAACAAGAAAAATAATCCAAAGAAGTACTAATGAAAGTAAATAAATCTCTTCTCTTTACTCTTCATATAGTTAACTATTGATAGATTATTCTATTTTTTATTTGGTTTATATTAGTTTTTTTTTTTTTTTTTTTTCTTCTTCATTGGTGGACAAGAGCTGAGAAAAGATGAGAAACACAAAATATAAAAAGAGACCAGATATGGAAAAAGTTGTCAATAAGTATTCTATGGGATTTGTATAGAATTGGTGAAATTTAAGTTTTCAATGTCACCGCTGATAAAATTCTTGTAGTCACCACTGCCTTCTGCTTATAGCTTATGAGGCAGAAATTGCCAAGGTTGTAAATACCTTTCTATATTGGGCCATACCTGCCGGTTTACAAACCATTTTAGCAAGAAACCAGTACAGTATACTATTAGTTCCCTTCCAGTGAATTTACCCGCCTATCTTGGACCATTTCAAGAATACCAGAAAATTTCACCTTCTCTCCGTTCATACCAGCCATTCCGGGAGTGTACTAGTTGCAAATAAAAAAATTGACAAGGATATTTCAAAGACTTGAACGAAGGTGAATTAACTACACAATTGGGATCCCATTTTTCTGATTGAGAAGGATTTTTAAGCTGCTCAACCTCTCCATCTTCGACAATTAGAGCAACATCATCTCTCCCTCTAGTACTCTGCTTCACAACTCTTCTATCTCCATCCATCTATGAACTATACTTGGCCACTGTTAGAATGCGTGGTAGAGGTTTTGAGGCTTTGAATCTTTGAACAGGTAATGGAGAGAGATGGATTTTCAGTCAACTTTTGAACTTCAGAAACATACACCAACTTTTCATCTATACATAGATTTGAAAGGGTGATATAACCAATGCAAAATTGAGATGACAAAGTCATGCAATTTTATTTTTTATTTTTTTTTTGGGTAAATGAAAGGATATTTTATGCAAGGTTTTGAAAACTGGACTTGACCAGCCGGTTCGACCGGTCGGACCGTTGACCGGTCAAGGTTCTGGTCCAGATATACCCTCTGAACCGTTCAAAGCTAAAAACCGGCTTATTTAAAGAGAACCGGGAAAACCAGCAGTTGAACGGGCGAACCAGTCGACCCGGAGCCGGTTCGCCGGGTCAATGAAATTGAAAATTTTGTTTTTTTTAAAAAATTTCTTCTAACCTTTTTTTCTTTCTTTCTTATTATATATATATATATATAATATAAGAATATAAGAAAATTTTAATTAGAAACTCTCTTTCAAAGGTTTCCTCTTATGAGAAATCCTATTAAGAGCTTGAAATTATTGTAAAAGTCTCTATCTATTTATAAGAAAAAAATTCTTTTAAAAAAACTCAAGAAATTCATGTGGGATTCAATCAAATGTATTGGAGGGAATATTGAAATTTTAATATCCTTCTAAAATTTTTGCTCTTCTTTCAATCAAATTATTTGAATTAAAATCATATGGAAAGAATATTGAATATTTAATTTCCTCTTCCAAAATTAAAATTATTAATATTTTAAAACAAATTATTATATTTTTCAGTAAAAAAAATATTAGAAGAAATATTTAAGATAATTTAATATTTTTAAAATTTTAAATTTATAATTTTATTACTTATATTTTTATTTAAATATAATTTTAATATATTTATTACGCCACCAATGGTTTAAAACTATTTTAGACTAATTACACCAATGGTTCCCAAAGTACGCATTTTAGTCCCCAATCCATAAATTTTATCAATTTGATCCTCAACTACAGAATCTGAGTTCAAATAGTCCCCAACACTCATGCTGTTCAAATTGGTTAACAGTAGCCAGAGTAATATCAGAATTTTACATGAACCCTCAACAAAATTAAAAGGACTGAATACGCAAATGGTCCCCAAAGTATGCACTTTGTTGCATTTCCAAAAATATGCATTTTGTTGCATTTCCATCCCCATCTTTTAATTTTGTTGCTGTCTTTTATTTTTTTGTTGAATTCTAAGAATACCCATGCTTCCATTAATCAATTTAGACGTTGTGATCACTTGGGACCATTTAAACTCACATTTTGTAATTTGGGGACCAAATAAACAAAAATAAAAGATTGGGGACTGAAGTGTAACAAAATGCTTACTTTGGGACCATTGGTGTGATTAGTCCTGCTATTTTTATCAATGGAAAGATTCAACTATCTGCTATTCCATATATACAGACGGGGGCTGTCTAATTGGTACTCCCCCAACAATAAACGAATCAAGTTAAAGCTAATGCAGATGCTTGATTTAGGTAGGAGGATTAAATGCAAGCCAATGTTTGGAATTTGATCTATATTAGAGTTAGGGCCTTAAGGAAGTTGAAGTAGTGTCTAGAATATTAAGGTAATTTCTGATATCATTAAAGTTTGATTTCAGGAGACAATGACATTTCAGTCAAAAGCAAGTAAAACTAAAATTCTATAGCAGCTTATTAAACAAAAAAACTGTGGACATATGTAACTAGTTTCCAGTTTTTAGATTGACATCAATAAAAAGCGTAAGCCTAAGTTCACAGAAGCACTTCAACCACTAAGCTACCATGGTTTTGGTGCAACTAGTTCCCAATCTTTATAAAGCTTCTCAAAGTTAATCTATTATTTACAATTCATGATGTCCTAAGCGGTGGCATACTGAAGTGAAATGCTGAGAATCACAATAGCCAAAATGAAAGAGAAAAGTACTCGTAGACAATCACAAACATAACCATACACTTCAATACATAGACATATGCTAACAAGAAGATGTATACTCCATGATTCAGATGATTCAGGAAACATATAAAGCGCACAAACACATGGTAAGACCTTACGAAAGCGAATGCGGCACAACAAAGCTTTACAGTAGCCTTCTTCCAGGTCTGGATTTGTTTGCAGTGGCTCTATATCTGCACTAACATAGGCAGTGCAACCTTCAAGAAAATATCCCAAAACATCTTACCTTAAGTATTCAAAAAAAGCATTAATGCATTATGCAAAGCAGCAAATGGCCACTGTCAGTAAATCAAATTAGCAGCTGCAGCAGCAACAAGAAGTTCACATTAGATGACTCGCAAGATAAAAAATGTGAGATCACTGTAGATGATTAAGCCACCGAAGAGTTTCAGACCGTAGAAACATTTAGCACGTCACAAGTTCATGGAGAAATGCTCTAATGGGAGAAAAAGGTGAAAGAAAGAAACTCTATATTCTCAACCATCCAACATGATAATCACACAATGCATCTTGTAGGTTTTCTTTCCATTTTTAAGTAAGACAAAACCAAGTATATATTGAGAATGTCGCATAGTTATAAACAAAAGGCAGGTCTTTATTGGAACAGGCAGTCACAGATTGCTGACTGAAAGACTGGGTGGATTATCTTATATGTGTAGCACAAATGTTTGGACCAGTTACTGTCACAGACACTGGCCTGACAAATTGCTATCCTGGTATCTATACTATACCATTATATAAAGTAAACACCTCCCATCAGACTCTCACATACCTAAATTATCCCTCCAGACAAACAAAGAAAAAACATTCCATTATCTTATATGTGCAGCACGCATGATTGGACCAGTTTCTGTCACAGATTACTGGCTTGGCAAACAACTATCCTGATATCAATAATATCATATAAAGTGATAGGCCCTGCTTATGAACCTCAGATCCTGAAGATGTTGGGGCAACCACAACATGATTTCATTATGATTGATCCTGCAATGTTGTAATCCCTACTGTTCCTTTATCCCACGTTTTGCAGCTACTGAAGACTTTCATATTTGAGCCTTTTCCGGTACTGATTGATGTTTTGCGGGATTACTGCAGTTGTCGGACTGTTCGTTTGTGAAGGCTTTCCATTTTATTTTTTTTCAGCCAACAAGTGCGTAACTGAGCAGTGGACATTTTCTTTTTTGATCCATCAGGTTTTTCTTTATTTAAGAGTGCTCTCAAAAAGCAAAAAGACTTGTTTTAATAGTAAATTGCGGGTTGGGTTTGTCCAACCAAGAATGACATAGGAGATTCGGTGGAAAAATTTCTATACCCAAGCATAAAAGAAAACTGAGGATAGATCAAGTCCATAGTGGCTTCACATTAAAGGAAAATTTCTCTTTAAGGTGCTTTCTTGAATTCTTCAAATGGAGAAAGAAGCTCTAACGGTAACATATTTATCAAAACCGAGACAGAGCTTCAAGGCTGCTACTTCTTTTTTTCCTTTGGTTGTGTGTCAAAGCTGCTATTTTTATTGAACTACAACTTAGGGAATTCAAAATTGTCGGGGTATTATTAACACCTGAAACATTAATAATTCAATTTTCTGGTTTCTTCAATTGCATCAATCCACGCCAAACAGTACCCTCAATAACTAAATAGCGAATCCACCTAAGCATTTAAAATTCTCTATATGATTAACAACTCAAATGCTGATAGCTGCATTTTTTGGGCTTCATTGAGTGTTGTCCATCCACAACCAACAGTACCCTCATTACAAAATGAATCCACCCAAATGTTTGTCATATATGGTGCTTTACTAACTAGAAAATTAATGAAATGATAAATGATAGTAGCTACCTTCTACGACCCTCTTTTTTGACAACGGGGCTTTACAAGCACGCAATTGGCGAGAAATTGTTTCCTCAACTGCATGTAGCAGTGATAAGCATTTTTCATCTCCGTCCCCTTTCAAAGGTAGACCATACGTCATTGTAAAAAGATCTTCTTCCTGCCAAAAGAAAACACATAGAATTAAAACTAAGTTGTTACCATGCTTCTCATCACAATTCAACTACAGAAGAATGGGATGGTTGAGAAACCTCAATAGTAAACAACAAAAGAATTTTTCCATCAAGATTCATATCGAAATCAAATAATAAAAAGTACTATTATCTTTTACAATCTGATTCCTTCTGTTATTCCTAACCCTTTCATGGAGCTCTAGCAAATGATTTAGCATTATAAGTAAAAAGCCATTCACACAGCATCTATAAATGGTGGTTTCATGTTGCTCTAAGCTTGTTCAATTCTTGCAGTGCATATTTGTTTTCTTCTTCTATGTTTTTGTTCACAATACAGTGAGGACCAATTGCACTTATTTTCTGTACAAAATAGGTGATGAGTTTCTCATGCCATGTCACCTTAACATAATTCATAAGGCAACAACATAATCGCCCTTAACATTAAAAACAGTTACGCATATCATGGATCTGAAAACTTGCTCTCTTATTATTTTTTTTTTTTATATTTTATTTACGGGGTTCTGTAACATTAAAAATAGGTTTTGCTTGGTCCATTGGGATTAAAACCAAGTTCCACTCATTCTAAGGGATTTGGCTTTACTATATTTAAAATTCTCAATGAGAGAGTCAAAGACTCCATCTCAAGCCTTTCCATCTCTATCTCAAGGTTTCTTTTTCTCTCCTCTCAATTACATTACTCATTCATAGGTTTCTTTTTCTCTATCTCAAGCATGCCATCTATTTCTCTCTTTCATGTACTGCTAACAGCTGGGTGGTAAGAATCCTGCACTCTCATTCAGAAAACCAAATCAGGAGTTCTCATCTCATCATACCACTGGTTTATCATCATTGTTTTTGCCTACTACACAGACGTGCATGTGCTCCTTAGAATGGATAATGAGAGAGCCAAAGATCAACCATTGCCTCATTGTTCATGCAACGTGGTATACAACTGTTTTGGAATGCCAGTTATATTGTATGCTCCACTACTCAAATCTCCTTCTTTATGCAGTGGTGCTTCCAATTTTTATGGGTGGAGAGTGCTACGACAGCATGGTTAGTTATTTTCAACAGTCATTTGGTCCATATGGGATGAAACCTGCAACTAAAAAACTGTAAGTTCATGCTAGACAATGAGAAGTGTCAAAAAACATGATCTTATTCTTCATCATTTACAAGTATAACTTTTACAAACTCTCAGCTTAGCTAATCTCAAATCATAATTTCAAATTAGAAGGCACTTGGCTATGTAGAAGATTAAAATGGCATTCTTATCAATGAAAGAATCACAGGTTGATGTTTTGTTTGCCTTTTTCTTTCTCTAGTATGAAGATTACTGTATTATGAGTAATGTTTCTCTAGCTTTTGTTTTACTTGAAAAATAAAAAATAAAAAATCCTCCGTGTGTCCTTAAACATTATGTTAAAGCATTTCCTTGCCTTCACTAAAATTCCGTTTCTTATTATCTTGATAATTTCGTAGACTTTTCTTTCTTGGGGAATATTTTGAAAAGGAAATATACCAAAGAATTTTGGATTGAGGAACTATTATTATGAATTTTAGGAGAATAAGTGTTGTATTAACTGTAAAACTGAAGACAACAAGATCAAATCTGACTTCTCATGTAAATAATAAGAAAGCAGAGGACAAAAAGGGACACAACTTGTTAATACCAGGTGTTATTACAGAACCCCCTGAACAACTGAGAGGCCAAGAAGTCCTTGCATTATCATGAGATGTACGATGGAAGAAAAAAATAAGGAACAACAACAATAATAGTAGGTGAAAACATTCTGTAAATTACATTTCTCTGAGAATTAGTTCTCTATAGCTCACCTATTAAAACTCCTAAAAGTCTTTCTGCACATACCATCCAAGTAAGACAAATGAAAATGCAATCTAGGGTTAGTCTTTCCCAATTAGCATGGAACCTGCATTTCTACATAGAAAGCAACTTCTGAGACCCATGTAACAGAATCCAAACCATCTTACACTAAAGTTTAACAGTCAACAACGTTCCCAAGTTCCTACACCGAGTAGTTCACACTCGACCCAAAAACTACCAGCCAAACCTCCTATATCGGCATTAGCAAACACCAGGATGACCTGACCTAATTCTAATTAACTTAAATAATGTAGAGAATGGAAAAAATACCAAAAAGGGCAAATATAAAATTTCACAATGAGCATCTTCGTGGGCTTAATATAATTATGTTTTAGCACAACTTAAGCCTTTCATATGTTTTATATTTATATACCAGAATGCTGATGGATAGATTCAGTGACTTTTTGTTACATTTGAGTTGGTAGGAGTTTCTCGGCAATTCACAAATGGCTGGAAAGGCATGTAAGGGTGCCTACGAATTGTATCATGGGTCAAATAATGTTATTTAGTCTACATACAAAGAAAAGTTTCTTAGTTTCCTAAATTAGCCTATAAATATATATATGTAACTCTTCTATTCCAAAGAGTCAAGATTTTGAGAATTCATCAGAACTTGTGAAACTTTGAGTGATAAATCATGCGGCCTTGCCTTAGGGGCGTTATTCCTAAGGAGTTGCGAGTGGAATTCCTAGAGTTTTCTTTTCACTTCTTCTCACAAATCACCATTCTCAGGTATTCATAACCATAGAATAATGCCAATTTGTTGTTCAAAGAATTCCAGTAGCTAATTCCTAAAATTGTGCAACTATACATTGAAAACCAAGCCAAAACTCACCCTTTTCCATCTAGAGAAGCTTGCTTCTACTTTGTAAGACCCTAAAGTCTAAAAGTTCTCCATAACAAACTCCCACCGCAAAACCACTTGTCTGCAGCTCAGGTCAAGTTCCTTAAAGATTTCATACATCATTAAATTTCAAGTCAATCGTTCTACACTTTTTATTTCTTTTTCTTTTTTTTTCCCCTTTCTGAAGTAAAGAGAACAAAACCCATGTCCTAATAGTTGGTGATTTGACTAAGAATAAAAATGTACAGGTCCAGGATTCTGTGCTGCGACAGAAGCAGAATAGAATCATATTAGTGATTTCACCAAAGGTAGGTTACATTAAGTCTATATGAACAAGTTTGAAACCTGAGTAGGTTACATTAAGTATATATGAACAGTTTGAAACCTATTATGTTATCCTCAACAATGAAATTATCCAAAAAGAAATATACATATATATTCCGAAAAACCAAGAAAAGCCAAAAGTGTTGCTGGAATACTTTACTTCATGTGTACGGGCATCAGAGACAACTGAAACAACTGCATTGCATGTTGCACGTATGACTTTGCAATAAGAATGCAACAATGCATGAGATGCTGTTATATCTGGCCTCAGAAGATAGATGCAAGAAAAAACAGTTTGTGCCAATGAATGACCCTTGTGCCATGTTGCCTGCCATGCAAGATTGTAATTAGCTAGAAAACAATAAGGCAAGGCATACTACTTATCATATGCAGTATAGACAGTACCTCACATGCTAGAAGATGGTCCATGATGTCAATTGTACATTGGACATCAACAGTTCTATCCATGCTCAAAGGGACTGGAGCAGCACCATTCTCAATAGCTTCATCAACAGAATAATATCTACAAACAATACCTGAATCCATCTTCGGGTCCATAATCTAACAACAAATAAATAAATAAATAACAAATAAGTACAAACCAGAAGGATCATAAATAATTATAAAGTGCAAAAAATTGTTGCAGTAGATATTGGTAAAATTATGCAATGGCTAGCATTGAGTATCCAAGGTATTATGGATCCAATATGACAGAAGATTTACACAAATATCTATAATGAGGATCCAATCCATGGCAACACCTCAGTACTTACAGAAGATAAAACAAATTGTATGAATGATAAAGCATAGGTGTACAATAAAATAAGCATAAAAGAAAAAATTACTTCTCTTCATATTAATTGTCAATAGCAATTTAAATAAGATCACATGTGAGAAGGAAGCATCAGCAATAACTGAAGCACATAAAAATGGGGGTAAACTAAGTATTGCACCACATGATGGATGAACTTTCAATATCATAGAGAATACCTTGCAAATTAGATATATTAGCTGTGAAGGAAGCATCAGGGAATACTTAAGCAAATTAAAAGGGGAAAATAAACATTTGAACAGTTGATGAAGGAACTTCTTGCAGCAAGTTAATATTGCGAAAGGAAATTCTCCCATTAAGACGATAGAGAAATCAACACAAGCTCAACTTCCAGTTAACATGTCCTATATAATTTTTAATAGAGAGAAAACATTCACATACATAATTAAGAATATAACAGCAGCACGTTATGTCATCTTATCACTAATAAAGGAAATTCAAAACTAAAAACAATAAAAGGTCTCCCCCTAAACAATTTTTCACTTTTGCAGTAAATCTATCTCAGTCCTTACAAAAATGTAAAACAGATTAAATGTGATTTGTTTTGGTTGGTTCCTCTTTCTCTACCTGTACTTTCCAGTACAGATTCTTTCCTTTTTCTTCTACTCTTTTCAGATAGAATCCTAAGTTCCCTTGAAGAAGGATGTCCACTGGCCCCATTTGGCCGGATTTTATTTCTGTCACTTTGACACTTTTAAATACCTTCTTCTTTTTTTGAATTTCAACACCAAATGTGGCTTACTGAGGTATTATGATTTTGATTTACATCACTAACACACAATTCAGCACTTACCTCTTAACATAAATTTAAAAAAAAAATGTATAGAATAACATATTTAATTTTACAAAAAAGAAAAAACTGTTGTCTCACACATCCTCTGTTGTGTTTCCGGTTTTGTAGCAATGTGTGACAGTGGCACATAATTACTCATTTGAAAATGAGACACACTCGATAATGCCCGCTAAAAATTGTAAGTCCAACCAAGAAGGACCATTACCTCCAGGGCAGACATGGCAGCAAAAAGATTAAAATTCTCTCCATGTATAAGCTCACCATCTCGAAGTTCTGTGATCAAACAATACAAAATAAAGTTACAACAAGTAACAAAGAAACATATAATTGCGCACTCGACACAAGCACTGTTTTGACCCATTTTTGAAAACTACATAATAAAAATTGCATTGGAATTTTCAGAACAATACATCAAGCAGATTGTGGAAACAATTAGGATGGTAGAAACCAGAATTATACCCTCAATTACAAGTAAAATATCATATAAAATATACACCAAACTCATCTACCTCATAGGCACCCAATACTACTGATCATACATTAATATCGTCAAATAGGAGATTAAAAATCTATGATGTTCCACATGAAAAATAGAACGAAAATTAAATATTAAAAAAAATATCTTTGTCCACAAAATTAGACTTAGAATTGAAAAACTGCTGCTGCAAATAATCATTTACAATCTAAATTACAATAATCATTTGCAACTAATGAGCAGTGATAAATTCCCCTGATTGGAAGTTAGTACTAAGTATCTGTAAATAAATCCATCATTTTGCGAACACAGAGCCAAAATAAACTTCAACTACACTGTGTTTGGTTGTGAGAAAAAAAACCAGAAACAAACAAAAGATTGAAATTTTAAATTCCTGTGCTTCCGGTTGCATTTTCCCCGGAACATGAACAGCTCAATTACACAAAATTAGATAGTTTGCACAAGGTAAAGATGCCTTCAAAGGCCTCCCAGAAAAACTGAGATTCAGAAAACCCCCTATTTGTCATTTCTTTATTTTCCTAGTCTTTCTCGGGAAACAAACAGAGGAGGTAAACATTTATATATATATATACGAGGGGTAAACGAGTAGACCTTTACAAGTGAATTGGAGGAGAGACGAAACATCGGCCCAAACAGTTTGTTCGCCTGAAGAAATCGATGGATTAATAGGCACTTTGAGCTTCTCTGCCATTCGTTCAACGATTGAATACTTTCTGCTGCTGCTTCTTCTTCTTCTTCTTCTCTCTCTCTCTCTCTCTCTCTCCTCAGGTGCTTCCGAGTCTTCGGACCTTCGCTGTTTTGAAGTCTTCACCAGAACTGTGTACTGTCTTTGAAAACTGGACTGCTCGTTGAGCGAGAGAGAGAGAGAGAGTGAGTGAGAACAAAAAGAGAGGGTCTCTAGACTCGAAACGAGGGTTTGAAGATTTTTGGTGGGCGGGGCATGAAGTGGGTCGGGCATACAGATGGTCCAATTTGGGGCATGAAGTGGGTCGGGCATACAGATGGTCCAATTTCATGAAGAAAAAAAGAAGAAAGAAATGGAACTGACGATTTTAGATGAGTGCTTACCTGCCAAATTTTTTTGTACCCCTATTTCTTTGGATTCTAATCTTAAATCTTAAATTTTAATAATATTTTTTTAGACACCTCATTTATTATCAAATCTATCCTTATTCATAATCTTTTTACAATCAAATGCACACCCACCTAATTTTTCATATCTCTCATTTCCTAACTGTCGGTCTACCACTGTGTTCATCTTCTCCACACCGATTAAATCCATTTTGCTGCTGAAATTCGGAAAGTGCTACTTGAATCCATTTTGCTGCTCAAATTCCGAAAGTGCTGCTTGATTCCATTCCGAAAGTGTGCTTTGGACCCCCCATTTCGAAAATTCAACACTTTACTACTGTAAAAACTTTCATCTACCATCAAAGGTATGATTTATTGCTGTAAAATTTTTCATCTACCATCAAAGGTATAATTTATGGGTCTGACTTTGGTCCAGTCCACCATCGAACTAGACCGTGCTGTTGGGCCCGTGGGGGCCCACCACGGGTCCCGTTTTGAAAATCTGAACCGTTCAATGTGTAGAACTCTTCGAGTACTATATGTGTGTAAAAAATCACGTTGATCGGATATCGATAGCTATGTGATCAAATTAGTTTTTTGTCAACCGTTAATTTATTCACCGTCTATTTTTTTTATACAAAACTGATTTGATCACATAGCTATCGATATTCGATCAACGTGATTTTTTATAGGCATATAGTATTTGAAGAATTCTACACATTGAACGGTTCAGACTTTCAAAACGGGACCCGTGGTGAGCCCCCACGGGCCCAACAACACGGTCCAGTCCGATGGTGGACTGGACCAAAGCCAGACCATAATTTATTTATCTTTTCTCTTCAATTAATCATAACCACACAAACAAAAAATCATTTACCAACCAAAACCACAACCACACAAAATCCTAATTGTGGGAGAATATTATAATGTAATGACCAAGTGTGGATAAGGGCATTTTATAAAATTGAACAAGTGTGGATATATATATATATATATATATACGATTAGAGCAGTACGAATTAATGTAAATCGGTGTGACTTTAGCAGATTGAGCGATATTTTACACAGTCCTATACACAAGGGCATTTTGTAAAATTGACCTGTGGATTATCTCATGATAGTTTGAAAATGAAATTAAAAAGAGAACTTTCACGGAAAAGTGTTAATAATGACCCGGTGTTATTTTCTTACTCAAGTCTTTTTTTGGTTTGAACCTTGGGCTTGTTAAGGAAATTAAAAAGAAACTCTCTGTTAAACATGACTTAGTGTTGTTATTTTTGTTTGAACTTTGAAAGTGTTAAAACAGAATTTTGTTACTTTGGTCATTTTTGGTTTGAACCTTAGGCCTGGTAACACTTCACGGATTGGATTTATTGATTTTGGGAATGCATGTTGGTACAAGTTTATAGTCACATTTTTTTTTGTCCATGTATGTTCAGAGGGATGGTATTAAATTTTTTTCAGTTAGAACCTGAGAACTTGTGCAAGGTTGAGATACTTTGTAGAATAGAGGATGATTTGATTGTTTTGGAGTCATGCAGTATCGTGTTTGGTTTGGTTGGAGCTATGTATGTATTGAAATTTTGTATAAATTCGTTAGATTTATAGTACTATTGATTTATACTGTTTGCATGCAATAACCCAACCCTCGTATGTGTTCCCGATATATTTTCAGTCCCTCATTATGTGTATTTATATGCTTATTATGAAATGTCACATGGAATTAAGTTTAAGTAAGTGAACCTTATGACTATGGATTCATATCTGTTGAATAAGGAGACACGTGGGTTCATTTTTGACATTTTTATTGGTATGTTTGGAACCTCCTCATTTTATTTTGGGGTGTTGCTTGAGGTGGTAATATGATGGTAAAGTAAGATTGGACCAAAAACTTTAATTCGAATAGTTAACCTACGATCAGCCGTCATTCATTTGTCCTTTTCTTTTTCCACACTTGGAATTTGAATGTAAGGTTAGAACCATTGGAAAGCTTATTTCCGAGGCTTCGATTTGGACACAAGAACGACCTAGAACGGAGTCCCGATGAAAAAGTTATACCCGTTTGAAATTTTCACATCTGTGCTGGAAGCAGAGCCGCACGTGCGGAGAATAACGCCGCACGTGCGGTCTGTGCGGGACAGCAGATCTAAAAATGGGATTTTTGGACCATTTCTTGCAATTTCTTTTCCTCTCTTCTTCTCCCCTGTTCCATGTCCGAAACCCTAGCTTCCAAAACCTTAATTTCCTCCACTTTTATCAACAAATCCTCCATGGATCTTGTATCAAGGATGGAGAACAAGAAAGGGTCAACATTTCCAACCGATTGAATTTCGAAATTGAGGTGGAATCTCATCCAAGCTCACTCCTTTGTTTGTTCTTCGAGGTAGGGGTTCTAGATCTCCTCAATACTTACATCTATGGATAGATTTATGGTAACTTCATTATATTAATGCAAAAATCTTTATTTTTATCATCTAGGGCATATTATGAGATTTGGGGATTTAGAGTTTGAGATGTTGGAAGTTAAATTGGTGGGTTAAAATGATAAATTGTGAATCCTAGATGTAGAATCATTGGGAAAATTGGAATTAAAAGTGGTGATTTAAGAAGTGTGAATTTTTGTTAAAAATCCTCATTTTTCTTGAAACCCTAGGTTGATTAATGATGATACCCAATGATTTGGCCTAAATTGAAAGTAGAATAATGAAATTGAGGTATTGAATTATATGTGTTCAAGTTTAATTAGAATTTGGAAATGTTTGAAAATTATGTTTAAAATTTGCGAATGAAATTTGTTATGAATGTTGTAATTCATGCTTTAATGTAAAGGAAAAATTGGGGAAATAATTTATTAAGGATAGGGATGACATGAACTTGGTGTGGAATGTCGAAATGGAATTCAAGGATTTAGTTTGAATTATGTTGAATTATATTTAATGATGTTGAGTTAAATCATGTTGTTTATGTTGAATTGTGGTGATTATGTGAGATGGTATTGACTATGTTGATTTTAATTTTTGTGACCTAAAATGTGGAGTTTTCCGAAATGGGTTTCATCCCAAATTATTTTGCTAAATACTTGTGGGCTTGCTTAGTTATTAAAATCAAGAGAATGATTTAATGGAGTTTCTTTATGTAGATAGGAAATGTTTGGTTTTTGGGTGAAAACCCTAGACATTCAGGGATTTTTGGAAAAATATGGAGGATGTCCATACAATTCTTTTCTATCTTGAAATCAAAGTGATTGATTATAAGTTCCATACTGTGTTTGCAAGAATGGTAATCTTCTATTTATAGATATATATTGAGATGGAGGAAATTGTAGTATAAATGGATGCTTAATGGTGGGCTTGTGAAGAATAATGAAGGAAAGAAAAAAGAACTAATGACTAAGTTATATATGTGTACAGGGCATACTTCAGGAGGGCCAAGCACTCCGTTGTAGCACTGTGAGTAGTAGTACAAGAATGTACACTTTATATACTATTGACAATTATTGTCACTAATGCTCTGTTCTTTGTAAGTGTTATACGAACATTTATGACAATTGGAAATCAATGTGAACTTACATGAACGCTGAAAGATTCGCGTACGTCGGTATGATTTTGGAATTCTTATGTTCTGTTAATGACGACTATACCAATGTTTGTTTATGCGGTCATGTATGTGTATGGGTATGTCTAAAAATAAATGACTCTCACGAATGTGATCCTGGCATGTTAGGTTTAGCTCAATGGATGCTTTTCTGTGTTATTTTATTATATTAAATGCTTCCGTTCAGGCCCCATATGATATGTATATCAGGTTAAGTGTCCGTTTCTGTATGGGTCATGCCCGAACTTTTAGGGGCGAGTTTGGGGTGTGACATTGCATGTCTTGTTAGTTATTATAGTATAGTTGATTCTTATTTAAATTTGAATTGTGTGAGTTAATTTAAGTAAGCTAGTTAAGGATATTAATTAAGTCATCTATCTATTCTATCTGCATAACATACCTACATTTAGCAGTAAAGCCCAAGCAAGCCCAAGCTATAGACCAAATAATGCATCTCACACTTGACATATCACCAAACGAACTAGACTCAAAGTAAAGGTAAACAAAAACTAGCAACAGCCCCAATATATTCCAGCAAACCAGTTAAGCTTCCGCCTAACCCAGCGTGGAAAAAGATAAGCAAGGACGCATAATAGCTAGACATACACAGTTTTCCCTCAAGCACAGCCCGCTTGGGTAAGCCTCAAAATAGTAACCATACATACAAAGATGGTGAATAACAATCATAACCTCAAAACTAGCACCTCTCCTAATGTCTTCCATTTTCTCATCGAGCAAATTCACCTCCATGTTCAATTGACCTACACTTGAACCACCCCATTTCAATACACACACCCATACACACACACACACACACATTTTGTAGGCTAAGTCACTCAACCCACAACAATAAGAAAACCTGCAAGAAATCTCCCTATTATATGAGCTAACATACTCAACCCTCATTAAAGCCATTTCACTCAGCAAAGAAGCAGGAAAAATAATATAAGAAGTAATAAAAGACTTGATTCCAAAAATGTATCCTCTCTTCACTAGGCCCTCAACAAATAACTCCGTAATATTTGTACCAGCTTTTAGAACTTGCAGCAAGATAAAGTTAGAAATGATATAGTGCCTTAGGTCACTCAACCCTCCACACCCTGTCCTCTCATGCCTAGGCCTTTGCTCACTGTCACTCAACTCACCATCCCTACGGTACAGCCAACTTAACAATCTGCATAATAACCAGTTAGTGAACATCATAAATTTTGTTGCTTACCATATTCAGCACATAGAATAAATATGCAACCCTCCAAGCCCCTAACCAGTATGTACAATGGTAGTATCCCTCAAGATGGAATAATGGGTCATAATCAATAAAAAATATTTTATAATGTCAACAATGCCTCTCCATTTAAGATAAAAAAGAATTTTGCTTTAAATTATGAAAAAGATAAGATGCAGTTTTTGTTATACATTGTTTGTTGTAAATGACAAATCTAAAATTGTCAACAAAGAATATTGGTTAGTTTAGCTTTTGTCGTGTACTAAGCCTTTTGTTTTTAATACCAAATTCCTAATTGTTTAGGCTCTCAAATTTTTGCACTTTTTTGGGAAAGCTTTGTTTTTGTCTATAATTTTATTTAGGATTTTTTTTTGTTTTTGATGGCCTTCCTCTTGGCATGCTTCTAATGCATTACAATTCTCAAATTTTGGTCCAACTCAAATATCTTATTTTTTGTAGTTTCTTTTTATCGTTTATTCATTTTGTGTTAAAAATTCCTCACGAATTATTTTCATTTAGTGACGAATTTTATTTTCTTCACTAGTTTTCGTCACCATAGGTTACTTTTGTTGTAGTGTATGGTGGAAACTGCTCGAGATCGCCCAACAGCGTCTAGGAGACGTAATGTTATACTTTCTCAAAAAGTGGCTAAGAGACGCACTCGTAAGACTAAGGATCAAGGTAGTGGAGTTAATGAACATGACATGAATGACATAGGTGCTGCTCTAGCAAAAACGGTTGAGGTTGAAAACGATGGGGGCAATCAATTTAATGTGAGTGACATGGGTGATGATTTGGGGGATGAACCAATAGATATGGGTGATGAACCAACAGACATAGGTGATGATCCGGGTGATGAACCAACAGACATGGGTGACTATGAAGACCAACCAGTAGGTACAACTGAAAAAGTTAATGAAGATCTTACTAGACCTTTTCCTGGGGGGCCATATGATCCTTTGATTTTGAAGAGTTTTCATTGTCACGTAGCAGCCAAAATTTGGCATAATGATGTAAGTCATTGTCTTACATTAATTTAATGTTTCAAATTTTGTTTCAACTTTACTAATTCTTTTTTTTTTTTCTTGTTTTTATTCTATGTTGCAGGAATGTGGAATACTTAAATGCTTAAATCATGGTTTTAAAGTTAGAGAATGGTCATTCAACTTGGAAGATAATGAACAGTCCAAATTTCATGGTTTAATAAAGGATTCGGGGTTGATTTCTTTAGTGAGTTGCTTCTATAAATTTGTAAACAAAGTTGTAGTTTTGGCCTTTGTAGAAAGATGGCAGCCAGAGACAAACACGTTTCATCTATCATTTGGTGAGATGTCACCAACCTTAGATGATGTTAGTGTAATTCTAGGGATTCCAGTGATTGGTAAATCAGTCTCTTGCAAGAAGTTATCAAATGTTGACGTTGCAAATCTGCTAGTTGAGGCTTTGGGCGTAATAATAGATGAGGCGAATGTAGCGTTGAAGGTAGCACGGGGCCAGTCTATCAAGGTAGAATGGTTGAGACAACAGTTTGGGTCAGTGTCTGATGCGGACAATGATAATACCATTGAGTGTGTAACTAGGGCATATTTGTTATATTTGTTAGGTTGTACCTTATTTGCAGACAAGACAGGCACACGTGTTCCGGTTGTGTATTTGTCTTTTCTTATGGATTTGCGGTTGGTTGCTTCTTATGCTTGGAGTGCACCCGTATTGGCTTTTTTATACCGGCAATTGGGTACTGCCACAAGGTATGCCGTAAAACAGATGGCGGGATACATGACATTGCTGGAAGCTTGGATTTACGAGCATTTTGTTGGTGCTAGACCCCACCCCAATTTGGACTATAAAGAAGATCAGCCTCGTGTCTTTCGTCGGATTTCTCGCACCCAATCTGGTTCGTCAACGTCTATTTTACAAAGGTTGCGAGAAGACCTCGACAGATTAGAGGCCCATGACGTAAGTGTCAATCTTATGTCAATGTATGTACATATTACTTTTTATTATTCAATCTAATTCATAACTTACATATAAAATTTTTACTATTGTCGGTTATTTGGGATCCATACCATGATAAGCACAACATAATTTATCATGTGAAATTTTTTATTTACTCAACAACTTTTCTAAAAAATAAATAAATAAATAAATAAAATAAAACTACACATTAACAACAAGTTTTACAACTACCCTGATTAATATATATATATATATATATGTAAGTCAAGATTTGAACACTGTTTCCGGGTGCAAATTATTCCCTCACCTCCGCTTGCTCCAGTTCGAGCCTCTAGAGGATCCACTGCAAAACAATACATCATTGCCTATAAATACTTGGATACGATTTGGGAGAGTTGGGAAAATCACTTGTTGTTTGAGATAGCTCGTAGTGTTCTAGTCTTGCATCCATGGGATTGTGTGCCAGGTTACTTGGACTGGTTTACTTCCATTTCACACGTGCAAGTTCAAAACCCGACACATTGTTCTAAGTATAATCCACGCCTAGAGACATCAGCTGATTATCGTCAACTTCAATTCGTATGTCAATTTTTACCATTTTCATTTTCATATATAATTTGTTTAAGGCAATTGTTAAGTTTTATTTTATTGTTTGCAGCGCATTGACAGTGCCTTAAGCATTTCATGTTCAATGCTCGAAATTAGATACAATGAAACAGCTCCCACCTGAGATATGTTACGCAATGCCATGAAGAAGATAACACAAGTCTTGGAGGGCCAACAGTCCACTAAAGAACACACACCATTAGAGAACTTGGTGTACACTTGCCGTAAGAAGCATGGAGCAATGTCTTAGACTTTAGTATTTGTTGGGTTCAAATGTTTTAAATGTGTATTTTGAAATCTTAGTCTCAAACATATGTTAGACTTTTTGATGGTGTTAGATACAAGTATAACAAATGTCAAATAACACTTTAGTATATATTAGACTTTTTGATGGTGCTAGGCTTGTATATGACTTTACCATACCTTTTTGGGCACTCAATGAATTATTTTGATGGTTTAGATGGTTTAGATGGTTTGAATTGGAATTATTTTGATGGTTTAGATGGTTTGATGGTTTGAATTGGTTTGATGGTCATCACTGAATAAACAAATCTGGACTAATGAATAAACATGAATTTTCTGTTCATCACTAACTAACCGAACAAATCCTCCTCGTTCAGCACTGTAAAACCGAATCAAACTGACTTATTCAGCACTGTAATGCCGAACAAGTAGTCTTCGTTTATCACTGTAATGCCAAACATATATGGTTTTTTAGTACTATAGTGTCGAACATAAATGCTTACTAGCCCTTTCACAGTTGCTGGCCTACTCATTTCAGCACTGTTGAACCGAATAAAAACAATTTCTTCACCACTGTATAGTCAAAAAAATAAATTTTGTTCAGAACTGTTTTGTCGAACAATAGTGATACTGTCAGCACTGTGTAACTTGAATCCATTCCAATTCACATTTTTCATCAACTTTAATTCAGTATAACACAGAAAATAACATTCATTTCAATTCACTGTTTACCATTCCAATTCATTAGAACAAAGAAAATAACATGAATTAAATCCATTCAAAATACATAACTTAAATCCATTCCAATTCACTCTTTTCCATTCTAAGTTAGTTTAACAAAGAAAATTACATAACTGAAATCCATTCTAATTCTATTTCCTAGCTCACTCATATGACATTAGTCCTCATCCAGGTCTACTGTTTTGATTGTGGCTACGTCTAGATTGATGAGTGATTTGAAATGTTGCACTCTGGAACTGTATGCAACCTCCTAGCCTACTGCACAAGGGTCATGGTACCTCCGCCAGTTAGTTGCTATGGGTGGAATAGGATGACCAGGCTCCAAAATGAGCTACAAAAAAAATAAAAAATAAATTAGAATGTACAAAAATGTTGTCGTTATTAAGAAATTTGTCGTTATAATATACAAGAATGTACAAAAATATTAAAAACCAATACTTGAACAAAATGGTTGTTGTTGACAAAGCCAATACATATCTCCTTGCGAGAGGCAACAGACGTCGGTATTGACCTAAGAATGAGGAATGTCAAACATTGTTGCATAGACAAGTGGACCAAAACAACTTGGTAGAAAGACGATATAAGATGACCCATTTCAGGCATCGTCATCCACCGGTCCAACCCAGGGTTTGGTTCAAAATATGCCAAGATGTTGGTCAGGACATCGATTCTCTCTTGTGATCCAAATAATTTCCTGTAGTGGTCACTATGCGCATGTAACTCTTTAAGTAAATCTTTTCTCACTTGTAACCATCCTTTTTCTCCAAAACCTATCAAACCAGCAATAGCTCAGAACCCACAATTGCCATCTGCTGCAACATCCTTAACGTATTTAATATATCGTCTCAATTCAGAAGGGAATGCCTCTAAAAAGCAATTTGGATTCAATGATCGAAGTCGGTGAATCTATCACAGGCCAATGCCAATGTTAGACAATAAAGTAGACAACATAACACAATTATATACCTCACTAGTAAACCATGTACCTTTTCTTTCTTCTTTGTTTTCACCTTTTTTGTTGTTACACTCGCCTTGGCAATGACTCCAGGTGGATAACTATCTTGTGCTGACGCAACTATTTCAAACACCGATGGCTCACGACGAGTGGAGGTCTCAATCTTCAATTTTGGCCGACCCCGTGGATTAGACTTCACTTCCAGCTCCATCAAAAATGTACAATCAAGTTTGGCTAACTCCTTTAATTTTTGTAACAAAAACCTCTTCATATCTGGATCCACTTCCTCGAATCGTTTGGCAAACAATTCTAACTCAGGTGTACAAGTCCACTCTTCACTTACAATGTGTGGGTTACTCAACATATCAAGCTTAGTCCAATATGAACAAACCGAAGAGAGGGGAATTGGCCGATTTTTCCTCATGTAATTTGCTATCTCATGTGCACATAGCAAACCATGAGTACGTCGAACAACACATCTATATGCCGTAATATCAATACCAATAGAAGATGCTCGTTTAGACTCAGCCAATATGATCTCTAATGCAGTAATTGAGAGATTACCACGAAGCTCCTTAAACTGCGCAGGTTTGAAATCATGTTGCACAACTAACTTGGTTTTCTCAAATGATGATTTTATTTCACTATGTTGCAACTCAAGTAAATTGTGTATCCTTGTCCAATTCAACTCAAAATTTCCTTGACTTGATCTAATATATCTTTTAAGTTTTGCATGTGAACTCTCAACCCTATATATGAAAATAAACTGTTATACAAATAATGTTACAAAAAACCAAACAACTAGTAAATTTAAATGTTCGTATTTACCTATTTGTTGTAGAATTTCCAAATGTATAAATGTGTCAGTCCAAGCAGTCACAAATTTCGACTTGTATGTATCCAACCAAGATAAGGTAACATAATGAAGTGCATCTTGATAAGTACTGAACTCACTATATAACAAAAACA